GCTGTCCGTTTATTTTGTTGTAGCTGCTGCACTCAGGTGAAATACCATGGAAGTATTTGCACCTTCTCTCAGAAAAAAACAGCCATTCTTCTGTTAGGAAAACCTTTTAGAGGGAAAGAAGAGCAGCGACATGGGAAGGGAAACTCCAGCAGAAGAGACAGAGTCCCTCTTTCCACAAGGACAGAGTGATGAGGAAGGGAGGATTTGCTTTGAAACTCTTTTATTGACTGCCTTACCAAGCACATCTCAGTTTTTTATCTATTTGAAGAGGGGGCTTATTTTAGAGCCTAATAAACTAGTACATATTCTAGTTTAGAGACTGGGAGCTTCTTGGTGTACTTTGATGTGCTCATTTGAAAGAAAAGGTGGGGAGTAGTTCCACATGAATACTCTAGCTGATTCCGGGTCCTGTCACAGCCTATTTTTCTTCTCTCCTTTTACGTTAATTGGACAAATGGAAAATAATGAAGAGGGGACATAGAACAGGCTACTTGGATCAATAAAAATGTCAGTTTGGCTGCATCAATGTAATAGGCAGAGCTAATGTCATTTGGCTAAATAAATGGGTGTATTTTGTGCAGCATCGTGGTTGTCCAGAGTGCTTTAAAAGCAAAGATGATGACAGAGCTCAGCAGCTGCAGGCTAGTGTGGCCTGGTGATCTTAGAGCAGAAGAGACCTTGCCCAGTTTCCAACAGGAAATGGTCTTTATGCCAAAGCATCGGTCAGAGAGTGGGCCATGAGGCTCAGTAGGGCAAGGTTGGGCACAGTTTAGCTGCCAAAATGGCACTTCTGCCAAATATAAGACATAATACAAGTTTTTACTGAATTCTGGTCAGTGTTGCTGCTGCTGTCCTTGTTGTGTGGTGGTAGTGTGTCGATACTGAGGTGTTGAGCACTGTATGGCTAGCAAATTTGCAGTCAGGAGATCTCAGCATTGGATTTGTCCAAGACCCACAGGTTTAGAATGGTGGCAAGGATTCAGCCAGACTTATTGTAGACAAGTACAGCTCTAACACTGTTGGCCAGGTTTGCAAGCTAGCTTGATCAATGCCTTTGCAAGCCAAGCAATACACACCAAGCAGTACTCCAGCGAAGTACAGAACCGCTTTTGCATCTGCGTGGAGTGGAAGGATGGTCAGTGCAACTGCACCTACGCAGTTGTTTGTTGTGCCCTTAGGATGGCTGCTTCTCTCCTGGCATCAGATCCTTTTGTTGCTATAAAGAAGTGTTTCTTCTTTTGCTCACTTTATTTCGCATGGCACTTAAGTAGAATTACTTATCCTGAAGCATTGTAACACCGTTGCATAATTCTATGCATTTAATTTCTGTCTACAGAATTGTTATTAGCAATATCAAACTAAATTTTTTTTTGAAGAGTGACATTGGCTGCAGTCTTTGCTGCCTAAAGAGGTGGTAGCAAACTCATTTTCACGGCACTTAGGATTTGTTGGGGTTTTTTTAAGTTTTCACAATTAGCCCAGAAATTTACAGAAGCCTTGTGCAATTTCTCTGATGCTGCAGCATTCCCAGAGAGGTTTTCTTTAAATACCAGTGGAAGGGGAAGGAAACTTAATGGTCAAACCGAAGGAGCTGCTAGTTTATCTAGGAACAAGTTTCATTTCAGCCAGATACCAGAAGTCTTCATAGTTATCTGATACATCTGTTACTTCTCAGCTTTACTTCTCAGCTGCTAAATGCTGCAGTTCAATAAATTTTGTCCATTGATCATTAGATAAATATAGATGTGAAACTGGAGTGCTACCAAAGACCTGATCTATGGAAGAGGTAGCCATGTGAGATGGGGGACAATTTCTACTTTCAAGGCTGCTAAAACTTAAATGAAAGGAAAGTCCTTTAAACCCTTGACCTTCAGCTTCAGGGTTTACTTTGTTCACATTCTCCTTCAGGAGCCACATACTGGCTTTATTTATACTCAATAAAATAAATAAGTGTGTGACCCTTTCTCCTATACACAGGCAGCTTTTTTTCTGGTAGAAAAGGTTCTTTATGCTATTCTGAAATTAATACTGACAGACAGCCTCTTAATAGTCCGTATGTGACACTTTTTTACAAGTATTTCAGTGCTTTACAAATTTGATTGCGTGCTTTGATCCCTTTCCCAAAGGGCAAATACCTCTGGGAGGAAACAGCCACATTTGCAACATCGCAAGCAAAACCAAATGCCCTCTTAGCGCGAGAAAGAGATGAACGGTACTCCAGGTAACCTTAGGAAACTTAAATGGCTTGCAAGAAGAAGTCAGTCTAGTGTAGAGCCCAGTCATCCTGGTTAGTGACCTGTTGTCATGGTTTCAGTAATCTCCCATGTCTATTTGTTTTTCATTTCTTGTGAAAATCAAATACTGAGCCAAAGCATTAGTTCAGCATGGAGTCAGGTATGTCATATCTTGGCATTGTGCAGTCACTGATGCAGGGCTCATCTTGAGCAAACAGAGAATGAAACTGTGGCAGAGAGATCTACTCTTTCTGTTCCTGAGGAACAGTTTGGTCTTGTTGCACCCACAGGTTGGGTCAGTAACTAAAACTAGCTTCTGCAGGAAGCTCTGTGCCCAAGATGATAAAATGGGCACTGTCAGTTCATTAAATGAACTGCTAGATTCTGCTCACAGCCTGGCTACCGAGAGAGGCTGGTTAGTGCTAATCCTAAAAAACAGCCAAGCAATTGCCCTTGTTGCATGCCAGGCGGACTTTCCACCCAAGTCTTGCATCCCTCTCCACCCCCACCAAACTTCCCGGTACCATGAAATACCAAGCCACCACTGGAACTTTGGACAAGAGTTGGTAGGATGTAGGAAGGAAGCTTGTATGGAGCATGTGTGTCCCTTCACTGATCTTTGCTTGCCAACTGTTCAGGACCTGGAATAAGACTTGGGGGATGGAGAGAGGGAAGGTTTCATCATGGACTTCAGCAGTCCAAGGTGACATGGGGAGCTCTACTCTTTTCCCTTCTCTTCTAGAGCTTTTGATCTATCGTTTGCCACAGTATTGATCTGCCACTTGTCAGAGGAGAGAAGATGGGTGGATATTATTGCAGAGGAGGTCTTAAGTCCTTTCCTACTGCTGGAGGCGAGGGTCTGCAGAGTACAGGCAGATCGTGGCCAAGTGGTGTAGGGGCAGAACATGAAACTAATACAGGAGATGCCTCACTAGCTCTAGCACTGCACAAACACTGTACTGTCAGTATCTTACACATCACTATCCTTTTCTCCTGCCTGTCTACCAAAGAAGGTGCAGGAAATCTCACAGTGACTTCTCCCCACAGTAGCAGGGTTTTGTACTCCTTTCTCTGTAGAGAGGTTGGCACACAGATCTCAGCCTGGCCCCGGTGACTCTGAACTTCTTGATACTGCCTATGGCTTTGGAGCGATGAGGAATTTGTGTGCCAATCACACTGTGGATGACATTTCTTTTACTGGTTTGGCATAGTCAGTACGGACAAATACACAGATAGAGCTCGATTCTTGTACATGGGTGGGTTTGGACTGTAACTCTGTATCAGGAGTGGCTACCACATTCAAACAAATTCAGGATACGTGGATACTTTAGAGCCCAGTATTACTTCTCTATCCTTGCCAAATTATATGAACAAATTGCTGAACTGCCTGCAGGTGAAGGTTGCATAGTCTGTCATCTCTGATCAAATAATGCCTGTGTGTGTGAGACTATCTTGTGAGTGTCCTAGGCCTGTTGCAACTCGACGAATGTGACCACGTTCCATATCCTCGAGAAGGAAAGATTTTTTTTTATTTTTGGGTTTTTTTCAGTGTTTGACTAAGTCTTAGTTTGCTTGGTGCCTCACCAATACAAAATAAGTTGTTACACTTTCTCCGTAAGGCCTACATACCACCAGAGAGGTAATACAAAAGACTGATAAGAACAGCATTGTGTAGACGCTTTATCTGTTGTGAGCCTTTGAAGTTCAGCCACCTTCATTGACTGTAAGAATTGGCGTGCAACGCTTGTACTTTTATTTGTCTGGTTATGCTGGCACAGATAGAGCCCCAGTAGTCAAGGGTAGCAGATCGAGTAATTTGTATGCAATAGAAACATGGCATGAAGAATGTGCTTCTGGCTGAAGTGAGGAAGTCATTTTATCATTGTTGTTTTTTTTTTTTTAAACTGAAGACTCTTTACCTGGCAGCTCCAAATTAACATGCTGATGAATTCTGTGCAGGAAAAGTTTACACAGGTTCCTTGGAAGAATTTACTACTTCAGATTTCTCTGTTTTTTTCCACATTTAGGGGATCAATCCCTTAGCCATATGCTCTAAAATAAAGGCTAAAAATTAGCCATTCTCTTAATGCGTTCGTTCTTCTCATATGCTTTGGAGTAGTAGTTATCTAGTAATGGAATTACATAGTATCCACAAACTGTAGTTCACAGTTAAGCTCTCTCAAACAGAAAATTACACCAAGAAATCCATGAACAGTAAGAACAGCAAGGGTCAGACTGTCTTACCGTGAAGAATGATACTGTGCGGGAAGCCTATTGCCTTTTGTTCTTTCAGCTGTTAATGTCCCAATCTCAGCTCCCATGGCGCTGAGAAATCAGAAATGTAATGTTGTGTTTGAAACACATTTCAGCATTAGAATTCTATTTTGATACATTTTACACAAAACTGTGTAATCCTTACAGTGGCTATTTAGCTCTGTCCGGTATGTTTTATCTTCAGACTGCTCTCAAAACAGTTGATCCTCCTTGCCTTTACTCTAGAAAGATGCTGAATGTTGGCTGAGGAAAACTGATCCGTGTTGATGTTAAGTGACTGAATCAGGGCTGGTGTGAAACAAATGGTTAATGACTGCATTAATCTTTCTGGCTTGCTGGATATATGCAAATTGCATAGGGCCTAACGCTTGTTTCAGTTCCTGTGAAGTGATTTAAGTTCCATAGGCTGTTGAATTTCCTTTCCTACCTTTCTGCTATCAGCCAAAGGCTGACAAAAGAAAGCCACCCCAGAAAGCACAATTCAATCACAGATCAGCACTATCTTGTTTAATACATTATATCTCTTTATAAACAATTTTATTGTTTCACACAACAAACGTGATTAGAAAGAGCAGGTACAATATACAACTTGATTGCCTTCATGGACTCATGGATGATAGGTTCTGTGAATCCTGAGATCCTTCAGGGCTTGGGCTAACAGTGCAGAGCAACATTGCAGCTGCCGAGCCAGTGGACAACTTGCACATGCATGCAGCTGGGGCAGCATGATTGGCTTTACCTTTATTATCCAGGCTGAGAACAGCAAAGGCAAGGAACTTGTTCTGATTTATGTAAGGAGTTTGACTTGGGTCTACTTGACCCATGGCTTCTACGTCAATCAAATCTGCCTGTTTCAGTAGTTGTGACAGTTGAAAACTGTCTTCATGAAGCTTGATGTAAAGAAAGCAAACCAACCCATAGTATCAACCACATGCTAATAATTTTAAATCAATCAGTGTGAAAAACATTTAGCATTACTTGGCAAATGAGCGATAGCTTTATATTTTATCCACAGAATAACAACATTGGGTTAACAATAGAAAGAATTAAAAGCAGAACAAAGAAAAAAAAATTATTCTTGGTCTGGATAGGTATTCGGTACCTGCAGAGGTACTATTAAACACTGCTTGCATATCTCTAGTGGCTCTAGTATCAAGCTAGCCTTAAGGTTCCTTCTATTGAGAAAGTCCACAAAGAAAGTTAAGAGCAATGAAGAAGGGGTTTAAATTGGAAGTACAACTCAGCCTCAATGTTATTTGCTACAGTGTATTAAGACGGCTCTAGGAATTTCATATACTAAACAGCAGCAGTCATTTAACACTTAAAAATAACATTTTCATCACAGATGGAAACAGCTACTGGCAACACAAGCCTCAATACCTTTAGATGTGATCATCTCTACTGTTTTACATTGTCTTCACATAGACTCTGTCTTTGAACATGACAATTTGGGGGTTGGCATTGTAGTTGATGAGGGAGAATTTGCAAAAGGGGTGATGGAGAAAGCCTATGGAAATTACAGCAAACAGAGAAGCCAGAGAGTAGAGAAATGAAGACCTACATGGGGGCTAGAACAGAGGCTGATAGAGGTATCGGATAATAAGTTTCAAATAGCACATATTTCCCTGCTCCCACTAAAAGGAGTTGCTGCCTCAAACAGAGGCAAAGTATTGCTATTAAGGTAGCAGCTGGAATATGGTCGGCAGCACCTAGCTGATCCTACACCTACACACACGCACCCTTCACCCACCCCTTCAGAGAGTTCCGTGCCCCTAGAAATAGCATGAGGCACCCTATTGAAAAATACCTGTAACCCAGCTGTTAGCATTCACTCAAACTTCTTAGCTGTTAGGGGGGAGTATTTTTAATGGCATTGCAAATGAGCATAATGATGCTTCCAGAACTAAGTCTATAGTAGTTGATAATGATTAAACTACAGCTACTATTAAACAGGCAAATTGAGATATTGGGACATGCTACGTTTCCCCAGAAGACAAGCCAGACAAGGACTGATTATATGTATGTGGGTGTGCAGAAAGTGAAAGCTGTTTTTAGCCCAGAAGCATAATTCCGTTTCAGCCATTTGATGTCCCAGGAGATTTGTGTGTGTGTACATGTCTGTGTATGGAAAGATCTGTTCGGAACTATTATTTTTGACAAGACCTGAGCCCAAACAGCAAAAACAGAAAGAGAAAACAAGGGGTGTGCAGTGTGACTTGAAGATAGCTATAGAATTTGTAACTAACTGCTGCTTACCCAATTAGTATTTTAATCTATATAAACATGGGGGGTAACAAAGGGGAAAGTCTGCATGCAGACAGAATACACATTAACACCTCTGGCTGCTGCGCACGTGACAGACTATCCAAAGGAGTAGGATTCATGCAAAGCTGATACAGGTGGATCAGTTAAAACATTTTTAGCTAGCCATCACTTTAAAACTCTAGTCTAGACAAGAACAGTTGTGCTAGCCAACAGTGGTTAACTTAAAATTTAACTTATTCTTGGAGCTCATCATCTTCCTCATGCTGCTGCCAAATGTAGTATGTTAAAAGATGTCTCCAGAAACTGGTCTAGCTAAAGCTTTCAGGAATCTAAAGCAAATGTAATATACTTGAAACACTGCAGAAGAAGACAAAGACAAACTATTGCTAGAATGAAGAATGAATTCTGAATTTAGCTTATCTAGCAGAGGGCTCAGATTCTCTTCTCCCTCCTTTAAAAGTCTTGCATTTATTTGTTCCTTTGAAAAGTAGAGAGATGAGACTAAGCATTTCAGGTGTTAACAATGAACCTTTCATTTAGGTTTCTTAATGCAGAAGTGCTGATCATGCAGGCCAGCCTTCCTTTCAAAAGATGATACAACACCATGCCTTTTTTTTTTTTTTTAAAGGATTGCTACTTTACTTCAAAGAGACCCTGAACAATTTAAGAGGAGGAAAAAACTGCACCATTTTCAAGTGTTCTGAGGACCCTGAAGAGAGCTCCTTCTGGTGTTGCATCTCTGATACAGCAGATGACTTCAACAGTGCTTTCAGAGATGTCAACTTTTTTTTTTCTTTAAAAACCCTGAAGTGTTTAGAACTATAGTTAGAATATGGTTTCCCATCCTCCCTCAGCATGCTTGGTAGAGGGAAGGAAAGTGTCTTCTGCAACTCAGAAAAGAATAAAAGGGACTAAGCAATGAGGAAATAGTGGGTGCCATCTTCTGTCCTTTGGTGTGAAGGGAGAGCCGACAGACAAGAGTAGGTCTCTATAATTTTATTCTCAGTACTTACACAGTCACTGCACCGTGCTACAAGTTAATAACTCACAGCATCCTATTGCATGTTATTAGCTGTGCACAAACCTAGCAGAAAGGAACATTCTGCTTATGGTTAAACCATTGCCATCAACACTTGCTACTCTCTGAAGAACAAAACCCTTTTGTTAGAGGATGCAGTCATAGTCTTTAAAAAGTATATATAATTTCAGAAATCTTTTCCTAATGCTTCAGATGCATGTATTGAATTTGAAATCGTTTACTGTTAGTCTTATAAAGTTCTGCTTGTTTTTCTTCCAAAGAAAATAGCAGCATATTGCAAAATAGGAAGGTCCTGTAGCAAAATACATAGTTATTACTAAATAATCCATCAAAAATGTTTTCTAATTATGACAGTCCTGTTTCATTTCTTTGCATATAACATATGTTGCAAATTGACTCAGACAAACTCTACACAGGTATATTCACAAAGATAAAGCAAACAGTCTTCCGTAGTACCAAGTCAAGAAAGTTGGTGCTGCTTGGCAAGTAATTATTTGCCTCTTTACCATTTTATGATCTGAGCTGATGTGAAGAGGAAAGTGGATGTGATCCCTAAGCACTTGTCAATTTGCATCCTCTACCTCCTGCTTTCACGCCTTCTTTCCTCCTTCCAACTTCAGATTGGAAGATGAGGCATGCAGGGTTTATGGGAAGGTGTATATGAACGATATCACAGAATTGAAGTTCAAAAATCCCATAGCCTAACATCCAGAACAAGTAAATCATGTCTGCATTAAGTTTCAGTTAATTGAAGAAATAGCCTATACACAAGGCAGTTATCACTTCTATAGACCAACATCCATATTTTAATCTGCTTGAACTAACGTGCAGGGGCTTGCAAGAACAAAGTTAATGCTTTTTTTCCTGTGGCGAGTACTGAAAAGCCAAAAAGAGCAACAGTCAAACAGAACTACTTTCAAATGCCCAGCTGCACATGCTGACTGCCTCAACAAAAAGGAAAAATGAATGAAGACTAGGAAGAGAAAGAAAAATATGTCCTTCTCACTGACGTCTTTGAGAACTGTTATTTAAGAGTGGCTCTTTCCAGCAGCATTAAAGTTTGTTCTCCTGGAAAAGCTGCTGACAGTGAGAGATAAAGCCCACTATTGCACCAGTTCACCATATAAAAAACGTGCACTGTGAATACTTTTGAACAGTTTAATCTTATGCACTGTTTTTCTAGTGTGGTCCTTTGTGTAGCAAAGTATGTACAGACACAGTCTCAGCTAAGCATAAGATTATGAACTGGTTACACTAGAACTGTATCCTTACACAGCAGCTCCTGCCACATCAGCTTTTGTGTTGAACCACAGCTTACTACTGCTTATATTGTTTTTGTTCTGTGTGCAGAATTCTAATCAAGTATTTGAGTGATTAAATAAACATCTGGTGCCAATAAATACAGTACATGTTAAGTAGTCTTGTCTTAAATTTTGCCATTTGTTTTCTAGGTATAGAAGTTCCCAGGAGCATACAAAATTATTTCCAGCATGAATTGGCTACAATCTCATTGTGACTTAAGGGATTACTTCGATTAGACCTTCTCTTTGCTGTTCCACTGATGACAGATGATGTCAGTAACTACACAACAAAGAGAACGTTAATTCATTTGTCTGGGCACTTAACTGTGTACACATCAACTGTGAGCATAGGTGCTGTCAATTATTCCACTGATGTATTTCTTGGAATCTATTATAAAAGCTATATTTTTTGACACCTGATACATTAGTATCAGTTTTCTTCCCTGGCGAGTCTTTGTACTGAGATAGTCATTGTAAGATTAAAAAAAGTGCTTTTATCCCTTAGAGATTTATATCTAAGTTGTAGCATAGTCAAAGAAGGAACTGCTATGACTGTAGAATGAACTGAAACACCACGAGTACAAGGTTAAATACAAACAGGACATTGTGTTCAAAAGGCCAGGGGATTGCAATTTGTTCAAAAGAAGAAAGTCATGCAAAATTCAAGTTTTGAACATATTTATCACCTTCCATGGAATAGATAAAAGCAGTTAATATTACTTTCGGACTGCTGTAATTGCACCAGGACTCTTTTCCGGGTGTTGCCTGTGCACTACTGAAGAGTAGTTCATATTCTGAAGTACCTCATTTTGCAGTTAGATTGCTTCTTATTCAAGACTCTGAACTGCTTCAAAACAGAAACCAGTGCAATTAAGGACAGGCTCTGGCATAGCAACCTTCATGGGCAATTCTTGGTTTTGCTTGAAGCGTTGGCTTGCACCCAGCTACAGATTTGAAACTTGATGAAAAGGCAGATCTGGTTTATGTAACTTACCTTTACTGTAACACAGCCATCTTGTTCAAGAATCACGCAGTTTTATAATTGAAAGTACCATACTAATTTGAGGGGAAAAAATGGGTGCACGTGTCCGATGAATCAGGCACAATTTCAATTCCAAACAAGTTTCAAAATTGTTTTTAAATAATCACCTTGATATTCTCGCTCCTTCTAATACAGTCTATTGTTTTTTAATTAGCCTTGTGTTTCTAGCATCTAAATGGTTAAGAAACAATAGTTACTTCTCTACTTATCCATTATGAATACAGCCTGTTGTGATTTGGGATACAGCTACTCTAGGTGCAGAAGTTGCGAAATGCATGAAAGAACATTTAAGACATTTTAAAACTTTGATGCCAATGATATAGTGCACAATATGCATTTGACTTGAGTATGAGCAACTTGTTCATTTGATTACTGTATCTAACCTCAAAATTAAATTGACCAATACTCAGGCTACAGTAGATTTGCATACAAAATAAATGACTAAACTTAAACACAGCAGAAATATCATCCTCCCCTTCCAAACTGGCAGAAAATACTGTCCACCTTCCACCAATTGTAAATTCAGCGAGAAGTTACTGGCCTAACGTTGGTATTTTCCCCATTCATATTTCTTACATGAACTTGCAGCAGAAATGGTGCAAAATAGCAAGACCTGTTGGAATAGGCAGAAAGGAATTCAAACTTTAATCTGATTGGTTTAATTTTTTTTAGCAGGAGGAAAAAGAATAAAGTTACAAGATTCTTTTAATATTTTCACAATGTTAAACTAAAACTGAGCTCTAGGCTACATGTGTAAGTAAATCTAGAACACAAAAGGGTTAAATAAGATCTTCTTTTAAGATACAAGAACTTAAGCTTTCTTTACGTTTAACAAACTTCACAGAACAGATACTGCAAAGGAACAACCCCCTCCCCAACTTTTTTGTTTAAAGTGAACATTGTCCATAATTCACATGAACTTTAAGTAGTGTTCTCTCAAGAGCCACCTTGAAACCATCTGTGCACTTGTAACGAGATTAAAGAGAATATTAAGGAGGAACAAAATAGCATCTTCAGTATTAATGCAGAAAAGTCTTGTGTATCAATCAGAATGCCCATCAAATGCTATGATAGGGTTTTGTAGGAAAAGAAAGTGCGTATCACAGCAGCCGCCAAAATCCATGTTTTTTTAAACTCCTCACGGCAAATGTAAATAATATCCTCGGACCGTCCCTCTCACCAGGACCACTTCCTGAAAATGCAGCACATTACAGAAGATTTTGCTGCTGGTTTCATATTCTTGAATAATAACAATAATAAAAAAAACAGCTTGCTTTTGGATAGCTTGCATTTTATAATGATGGGACACTTCTGATTTGCTTCGTGGTTAATGAACGCTAATACAGTCAGATGCTGAGTGTGTGTGTGGAGAGACATATATATTCTTCTTTTTTTTGTTTTTTTAATTAGTTGTCTCCTCGTTAAATGCTCCTAGCTGGCTACCAAAGTAACAATATAATTTGGCCTATAAGGAGTTAGTTACCTGTAACAAGTAGAATGGAGGATGACTCACACAAGCTTACTCCTAAAACGCTGGGGTTTTCCAAGTGACACGTTACTTCACCCCTCTGATGTTTTGTATCTGCCCAGTATTTGAAGATGAGACAAAAATCTTTCCCTCCCTCAGATTTTCTTACAAATTTGCCTGATTGTTAACACCTTACTAATAGACTGAGAAGCTAAATTCACTCAGGATTAAGCTGGGCCACGTCGGTACAAATCCTTTTTACCTGCATAAACCCTGTGTGCAGCAGGAGACATGCCGATTATGATGTTTGCTTTTTCGTTTCCAAACTGACAAGATTGGTGCAATTCAGTTCAGCTCAGCTCAACGTGACATACCGTAATACAGAACCATAGGTCTAAACAGATCCAAAACATTCTACTCCATGTAATACTTTTCACATTCACTTGCTATACTCGCTTTGCAATAGATGCGGGCAGAGATTTTCATGAGAGCGTTCAGCTGCATAGAAAGAGGGCTGATATGGCCCATTTGATTATCTCATTGACACTCTGGAAGTGAGGAACACAAACTCAATCTGATAAAGGGTGTTTTTACCGGTTGTTCCCCAATACTGTTACTGAATTCCGTTTGCTACAAAATGTCCTTTTTTTTCCCCAATATATAAGTCTAGCTACAGAAAGTCAGTCTGTAGAATCCAGCCATGGCTACTGTGCTGTGAATTAGCCTTATTTGATCAATTATCAGATACCTGCACTTAGCAAAAGGCAAACAAGAGCCAATCAGGTTTCGGCCGGTGGGAATGGCTGCACTGCTCAAGGTATGTAGAATCTGTTCACACAACTCGTAGAATCTCTGTGGATGCCATGTAAAAAGTATGCACCATTTACTGCTCTGGGATGGAGTTGGCTTTAAAGTGAGATCATAATTTAACTGAGAAGAAAGAAAAAAAAAAAACCCGATAGGTTCTTTATAGTAAGATAGATATAAAAATTTTTCATAAGAATCTCTGTCCCCCTTTCTTTTTGGCTTCCTGGGAAGAACCAGAAAGATGTTCCTACCCCAGCAGAATCCCTGATGCTGGTGACACTGCCTAACTCAAAAGCCACACGCGATGAAGGCACGAGTGACCAGTCAGGTCTTCTGGGCTTAAGCAGCTGCAGTTGCTGCTCTTAGTAGTATTTCACCTCCTCAGGATTCACTAGCAGTGAAGAGGTGAAAGGCTGCACATTAAACAGTTTGTCCAAAAGCCATGTGCATAGCAAACTTTTACACCAGCTTCTATACAACTATTTGTTTTAACTCTGCAGCTGGAATGTTTCCAGCGTAAGGCTTTTAGAGTGACTCCAGCAAAAACAGAAGCCTTTGGATTTTTTTTTGTTTTGTTTAAATCCACTAGCCATGCTCAAAAATAATATTTCTTCATGTTTTATTTTTATACGGTGGCTAGCAGGCACCTTAGTAACCAGCCAGAAATCAATTTCAACCACCATCAACCCCTAAACTACAGTACCAGGACGGTTGGCTAAAGAAAGGAAACTGATTGGCTGTAGTCTGAAACTTGCCTAGTACAAGGTGTCTGGCTGACTTTGTCCTAAATAAGGCTAACATTAGTGAACTAAGAGAACAGCATTTGGTTGCAGTCTTGCACTCAGGAACATCCTTCGCCAATGCGTTGGCAAGATCTCCCTACTTTCCGATCCAGTTTCACCATTTTCATAATGGCTTCCTCACGCCCACGTCCCATGTGGTCAAATGTGCAGTCGTGTTGTTCAGGCAGGCGATGCAACATACAGAACACATAACCTACCATGGAAAGGGAGAAAACAAAAATACAGTTAGGGACTTGGTTGAAGTGGCAGAATCTTACCTGAATCAGAAGTGAAGGATCACCTACTGGGGGATTACTCAGTTCCCAAAAATTAATGCCAGCTTTAAGTTTTTACTTATCTTCCTTACAGGGTATTAATAAATACCTGATTATGTACTGCATTCTCTTGGGTATTTATCAACACAGTATCAAAGCTCAAGTCATGTTAGGTTTGGTTTTTTTTTTTTTGCCATCCTCTCATCTCGCAGAGGAAGCCCCCAAAATTGTCTAAACTAGGTATGCCCAGATAGTAACAAAGCTAATTTTTTTTTTTTTTTAAAAAAAAGCTCATCTTCACTGAAATCTTTTCTACTTTATGTGGAGTTGGTTGTCATTTCTGAAATTCATGCCTATGGTAATTCAGATTTAGCTCCCAAGCAGGCATTCAAGTCAGAACTGTTAAATCTAAGCACCTTGCTTCCTCCTTACTGCTGGCACCCCAAGTTGGCAGCGACTGCGGGAGAGTTCACTGCTCCACTACTATTCCAGTTTTCAGAAGCTTCTCTTCACGAACTGCTCTGACACTAAGCACGGGGGGCGAACAGGCATTTGACATAGGGACACGTCGTGCCACACCATCTTGCTCTGTAGCTGAAAAGATGTAGGTTATTGTCTCTTTGTCTAAAGCTAGTCAATGTTACTCAGTTTTCCAGGGAGCATGTGATTCAGAAACACATGGCAATACTTTTTCCTACAGGTGAGGAGAGCATCTTCAGTAGCCACCTCTTTCTGGTCTACAAAGAAAATCAGCTTTTTTCTTATTTGGCCCTAACACTTTATAGCAGTAAAGAAATTGCCTCAAGTTTCCTACCTCTAAAATGAATGTTACATAGTGATAAGTAGTATTAAGATGATACAGTAGGGAAGAGAGTCCTACAGTTACAGGGTTCACGTAGTCCCCCGTATATGAAACAACATATGATATCGCCTATGCTGCAATATTTTTCCTGCCTGATGGTGCGAAGAGCATCACTTTGCCTCTCACTGAATGCTTACATTACTGCTGCTCCTTGAATGCTCAAAAGATACTAAAACCACAAAATGATGATATTAGAGAGATGGAAAAGGATAAAAATGATTGAGAGAGTGTGTGTTTGTGCGTGTGTATATACACACACACACAAAAATGTGTGTGAAGTGTTTCAAGCTCCTGGACTATAAAACATCAATTGTAGGAGAGGACAGCAGGCTACCTTTATGTTAGTGTGATTGTTAAGAAAACAGAAAGGGAAAAATATCACACATGGAATTATTAAAAAAAGTGAAGAAAAATTGATTTATCTCTGCTCTTTGTTTCAATAGCATCAGGTATGAAAAGACATGTCTATTATCTGTGGCTGGCTTTGAAACCCTGTTCTAGGAACAAAGCAAAAAAGACCAGTTTTCTGTATTGGTATATGTGATTCAGAAATATGGATGGAAAGATGCAGATTGAACTGATATATATCTCACCCCTTGTAATCATTGTCTCCACTTCAGTCTCAATCTAGGTCACACCACACTCAAATGTGACAAATATCTTTCTTGAGGTGCCAAAAATTCAAGGTCGGTTGTAATTCTGGTCCTTGGACTAGAGTTTCAATACTGAACAGGCATTTCACTCAATTCTCTCTTACAGAAAACACGGACTGAAGGCTTCCCTTATTTCTTGAAATAAGACTTCAAATTACTGAACCAACGTCCACTGCGGGCACAAGAATACATAAATACCTGACTAGATGAGCTCAAAAATCAAGTTTGTCATCTTATCTGCAATGGATGTGTAAGAAGCAGATGCAAGAAACCCTGCAGATACGGATTGGGCTGCAGTCATTTCAGTCCCTTGTAGGTAAAAAATGGTTTTAAATCCTGATGGTTTTACAGATCCTCTCCACATGGTTAACAAGCATATGTAGAAATGTTATTTAATGTTATCTAAAAGAGATCTTGAACATGTACACAATCTTCTACACAGCTTCAGCAAGACCCTTTTGACAATTCTATCAATCTAGTAAGAAAATACATATACACCATGATTTATCACTTTCGAACATGACCTTTCAATTGCCCCATCTCCTCACCTTCTACAAAGCCTCCTGCCTTTGGTAGACCAGTGTAACTTCATGATGTTCCTTTCTACTTTGCTACCCCTCCAATACAGTCTATTCTGTGCTTTGCCATATCTTTATTTCTTTTTTTAACACCTTTTAGCTTTTTTTAGAGCACCTGCTTTCATGTAGGAAAAGCTGTACTGTATGCTATTTTTATTCCGGATAAAACATATTATTTATTTTTTCTGTTTGTCAAGTATTTTCTTATGCATTCTTGAATGGAATTTCAGTAACTGTCCACAAAGAATGGCAGGTGATTTTCATTTTCCCAGACTGTGGGAAAAGTATTTCTAATTTCAGCAATTAAATGATCTGAACCTGTTACTCATATATCTATTTAAATCTGTACTGCTAATTAGAACTGATAATACCTAATGAAAGAATACCCAAGCACATTTTGAACATTATGAAAGATAGTTTTGCATATATTAGCTGTTCTTATGGAGGGGGTTTATTCTTGTTGAATAAGCAATGGGGATCTTCTGGAAGTCTCATTTCCAAAAGAGACTTCAGATCTTTAGTCCCATTGCTCCAAAAGCCTAAGTCACTTTAAAGATCGGAACTTGTATTTTTGTAGGTTTTATTTAAAATTTAAAGGACTTGAATACTGTTAGATAGCAGCTAGTTGAGTAGCAGTAGTTCCGAACATATTTTTCATTAGTTCAGAGTGAATATATTCAATTAAGTTATTACTGCTATATTCACTCCTTGCTTCTTCACTGGTCTGGAAATCAGAGTGGACATTCTGTGGTCTGTGTGTGCACCAATGCCTGATGTCGTATCAAGACCATCAGTTTTTACAACAGTTCCATTCTTAACTTATGTGTACTGGGGCAGAAGGCCAATATATGTACTTCTATTTTGATCCTTAAAACCAATCCAGATTTAGAGGTGAAACCTTTTCTCCTGAGAACTCTGCTTTTATGGTTATAAAGCAAGTTAGATTAATGAACCCTTGCGGTGTATTTACTGTTAAGTTCATTATGGGAAGATATCAAATAGAGGTTGTCTCCCCTAAAGGATTTTACTGCAGAAATGCTTCTTTTCGCACACTGTAACTGAAAGACAAATAACTTCCTGCTAGGGGAAAGAGCATTGGAAAAGGGAATCCATCTGCCAGCTAAAAGTTAGTTTACCCTAGTCATCAACCAAAAATATGCCAGACTTCCACTCCAAGCATAGAAGATTTCAGTCTAGTAAATGTAATAATACATCTCACAGCATTGCAATTGTTGTTTTCTGATGTTAGAAGTAAACTGTGAATCACCTACTCCTCAGGCCTCTAATGCAAACATCTTGGAAAAACATTATGTAGTGCCTCAAAACCTTTGAGCTCCTCTAAGCACCCCAGCAACTACTTCACGATATATATCATCAAAAATTCACTTCCATTTCGTCACCAGAGCATAAATGGCTAAAGCCATAAAGCAGTGTACCTTCTCTGCCTTACTTGTACCGATACAGATGACTTTTGCATAGGACATGCAAAAAAACATCATTCAAAGGAAGTCTAAGATCGCACACAAGCAACTGTAAAGTTGCTTTCATCATTCCTGAGGCATCTGCTGGGAAAAGGCAATTGGAGAGGACAGAAAACAAAATAATTTTCCATATTCAAGACCAGAGAATACCACAGACCTACAGTTCGCTCTGTGTGGGTGATGATGAAAAATGACTGCATTTTCCTTATTGTTACATTCAAGAGCACTGGCTTGATGGCAGTATGGAATAACAGTAAGCAAATATTTCAACTAAAACCTACATTTAACTCTTAACTTTCTGTCTTCAAATTCTGAAAACAGTAAGCTGCTAAAATACCGACAAAATGATATGTGAAGCATCAGAAACAATTCAACTCAATGGCATAATAATCCGCAACACAAAAGCCAAATAATAATTTTAGAGGGTCCCTGATTTTGTTAAATTTCTTTTTTTTCCTTTGTTAACTCAATGGAAAGCGGTCAGACTTTCTGGAACATGGCACAAATGCCCAATAATTGGATTACTGCAAACTACCAATGGAGAAGCACAGCACACTGGTGGGACTACTCTAGTGGACGTCCTTGGCCAGGCATGGAGTAGTCCCAGACTCTTCTAATGTACTGCTGGAGAACATCACACTGTTACATAAGATATAGAATAAATATAATGATCCCTGTTACACGAATAGCATCATGACAGAAAGGAAGCTCCTTTTTCTCCCACCCCAAGATTCTGGGTCCTAATCTCATTGATGAGACATTCAGAAAGCTGCTAAAGGAAGACAGATTTGTTTGTTTTGTTTGTGAGCATGTTTTGAGAAGTGGTGAAAGCACCAAGCAAGCTTATTAAATATTGATCAGCTTACACACTTACAAAATGGCTTAAAAACATTTAAAAGTGTCCCTATTTGAAACATCTTGATGTGTATTACCTAAAAGTAGTTGCATGCTGCCACAATTACCATACAAAATCAGAGCTTCTTACACTTCAAAATCATCTTACCTGCCCACTAGTACTGTTATTTATCATTTTCATTCCCAAGTCAAAAGGCAGAAGTTCAAAACTGCCAGAATTTGTGGCCATTTCCAAATTTTATTTAATAAACAACTTGTGTTTGTATAGATCCCCTATACAAAGCCTATTCAAAAGTAGTCTTAACAATGGCGTAGACTTATTCCTGTGCAGAATTCTATGCTGTATGCTTTCGCTTCTTCACGTGCTTCCCAAGAAATTTTACCTTTCTTGCTAATTTGAAATTCTAATCAACAGGAGGGTCAAACAGAACTTAAAAATACCTTGTAACCTTAAGAGATGAAGGTGCTGCAAAAATTCTCTACCAAAGGTGTATTATCTAACAAGGTATG